ACGACTGGTGAAGACCATGGAGATGTTGAATGTTCAATAATTCCATTCTTTAATAATTTTTCTGTTTCTTTCCTTAAGATTTCTTGATCTTTGTTGGATTTTCTATATGGTGGAGTGTGGACTGGCCGATGTGAACCAGTATCGATAGCATTTTTTAAAACAATATCAATTTTTGATGGTCTTCTAATATCAAATAATTGTCCATATTTCCATAAAATTTTTAAAATTTGTTCTCGTTGTTTATCATCACTAATATGTTCAGTTAATTTATTTATTTGTTGTCTAATTTCTTCAGGATAACATTTGTTTCTAAGATGTTCAAATAATTCATTGCCAGTATTAAATTTTCGATAACATTCACGACATTGATGTTGTTTCCCATGTAATGTTGTAGTATTATTAAAACTTAAGTTGTTTAATTCATTCGCTCCTTTCCCTTCAGGAATGAGCTCTTTACACGCTTTTCCTTCCGGAATGCGTTCTGTTACATAATTTGATGGTATGGTGACACCAATTGTAGAAGATACTTGTGTCACTATACCTAATTTGGTTCCTTCGGAAAGCGTTTGTTGTCGATTGGTTGCATTAATTATACTAATTTTTATTGTTCTATTTTCAATATTGAGTAATGCATTGGCAGTAAATAATGCTTTATTTTTTAATCGAGGATTTGCTTCAAATAATACATCAGTCATATTGTTGGGTTGAACTTTTGCTTCTACTATTTTTTCTGAAAAAGGAGGAAGAGTAATATAATTAATAAGAGTAGCTGGATAATTTAGAAGAGGTGGTGTAGCAAAAGGAGTTGATACTTCTTTACCTCGACTTCGGATCATAATTCGTTGTTCAGGTGTGAGAATATAAACATTGTTTGATTGAATCCAATCACTACCTAATATCAAATTTGTAACAAGATTTGTTGTAACATCGGCAATAATTGTTGTTTTTATTCCATTGACATTTATTTCTAAAGGTATTTCACCAATAATATTTAATGTTGAGCAATTTGCAGATAAATGATTTAT